ACACACACACACACACACACACACTCACACACACACACACACACACACACACACACACACACACACACACACACGCGCGCGCACGCGCGCGCGCCAGGACTATTTTCATTCAGTCAGACGTAGAGCAACAATAATAAGAATAAAGCTAAAAACTTATGAAGAATAGGCCAGTAGGAACAGAAAATGCATAAGATATCTTTTGAAGCTATCAAGTGTTCTTACTTGTCTTATAGTTCCATGGGTCCACATAAATGGACCAAGAGAAGAGAAAGATCTCTCTTCATTTGATTTGTATGATTTAACGGGTGTCACCAGTAGGGTGTTATCGTTTGATGATCTTAGCTAAACCAGGTTTCTCTCTGGCTTATATACAGCCTACTGATAATTATGTTCTTGTTGCTTAAAAGGAGCAGTTTTATTTATACTTTTGAAACTCATGATTTTGAATATTATTCTTTCTTTTACGGGGAGCCTATGCAGTTCTTTTAATAGTGGAGTGACATGGTCTCGTTTTTTAGATCTTGTTATCAGTCTACGCAGCATTGTTGAGAATGACTTGTAAACGATTCAAATATTTGTTGTTCAGACATGCCAGGAGTGAGCTACAATAGTCTAATCTAGATAGCATAAGAGATGTTACCAACGCATTTGTGGTCTCTTCGTTTATAAAGTACTTTCGAACTAGGCCTATATCCTTCTCAGCTGAAAATAAAGGGATTTGGACAGAGATCCTACAAACGAACCCATTGATAAGTGGAGGTCAATAATCGAGCCTGACCTGCTTTGAAAAGCTGTTTTTAATTTGCACTGACTGAACTCTTTCTAGCAAACATGACTTAAACCACGAAAGCCCAGTACCTGATAAGCCAAATGAGCACTCAAGCCTTGTGAATGGTCTTTTGTGTCAAAAACGGCAGACAAATCCAGAAGAGTTAAAAGACAGATGTTTTTTTCTATCAATGAAATCCAATAAATCAGACGTTACTTTTAAAAGTGCAGTTTCGGTACTATGTTGAGTTTAATAGGCAGATTGGTAAATTTCCTCAAGACCATTAAAAAAAATGAACTAAAAACTTGACTCAACAAATTGCATACATGTATTCGAAACTGGTCGATAGTTTTTTTAATTCATTTTCATCAAGCCCTGGTTTTTCAATAAAGGTTTTACATTAGCTTGTTTGAAAGTATTTGTGTCACGACGAGGTGGAATCAGGCTCTCGTCAATTTTTGGGCATGTAGAGCTCTTGGTGTCATCTTAAAGCTTGTTCACTTGTCTTTACTTGGATTTACTTGGATCCAGAGCTAGAATCATAGCAGGCGGCACATGTCCATAGCTGCACATCTCTCCTTTCCAGCGTCCACCTCAGGGTCTTCCTGCTAATTGTCCCCATGAGGAGCTGGTTTGAGACACGCCTGACCACTCCTCGGAGCAAACTTTTGTTCGTTGTGCCCCGCACACACTTTTCTTTTATTGTGCTGAGTGTGTGGGAGTCTGACTCCTCTTGGTTGTGAAGGCTCTCCTTGCATCTGGCGACCACCATTGGTGGGTCGAGCATGATTCGGCCATTGGGTGCTGCTTTGCCGGCAAGTTCATCAGCACGCTCACTTCCGTGCACCCCGGCGTGACCAGGGCAGAACACCCATGTGATTCCTAGGAGGTGGCTATTTGCAATGGAAGCTCTCCAGTCACTGTAGAGCCACCCACTCCTGATTTTTTCTAGGGTGCTCATCGAGTCTGTGACAAACAGGGCATGTTTATACACTTCCATGCTGATCCATTCCAGCGCCTCTGTTATTGCCTTGACCTCCATTGCCATGCTCGACGTAGTGCACTCGTAAGCTCCAGACTGTTCTTTAATTATCCTACCGTCAACTCGAGCACTGAACGCCCATCCAGATTTCTGACCACGCCTCACTGATCCGTCGGTGAAGACGACAACATCACCCATCACTGAATTTTCCTCTAGGATGGCCACAATTTCCGCATTAGTTGCACTTGCTGGCCACTCGCGACACACTCGACCTAGCGTAGCTGTCACCTTCATGAAGTTGCTCATGTTTTTCTCCGGCCTCATCCAGTCACATCCTCTTCTTATGTCCTCGATTTCACAGCACATATCGAGAGTTCGCTCCGCGTGCACCATCCATGAAGATCCTCTTTTCAATCTTTGGCGTACTTGGTTTCCTATTTTCGGATGTAGAGGGTGACGTTCGTCTGCTGTTACTCGAAGGTAGGCCTTGACTTGTGCTAGCTTGTGTCGGTGGGTTAACGTTGGCAGGTCCAGCAGATATCTCATCGCTGATGCTGCTGTGTCACGGGTGCATCCAAGAACATTTCTCATTCCTTCATTTTGAATGACTTCGAGACGATGTAGTTGGGTTTTGGATAGGGTGAGCATACCAAGGCCATAATCCACTACAGACAGTACAACCGCTTGAAGCTTTATCATAAGGGCGCGTTGGGGCATAGATGCAGCCATCACTCTCGGTGCAACAAGTCCTTTCCTTGCTCTGGTGATACTGTTTGTCACATGGTCTTTCGCCGAGAGGGTGCGGCCAAAGGTAATGCCCAGGTACTTCAATTTCTCTTGCCTTTCCAACTGCGTACCTTGTATATTTACAGTAGGCATGATAGTCTTGACTGCTCTGTTGTTGAGACTGGTCCACAGTACCCCTGCCTTCGCTGGATTAAGTTTTCCATTGTTCTGTTCGCACCATTCACCAATTCGATCTAATTCCTCCTGCATGCTCCTTGCAATCAGCTCCCGATCTCTCCCCTGCCTATATACCAATACATCATCTGCAAAGCTTAGTGTACGCCCAGGTCCCCCCAATTGATTGGCTGTAAGACCGATGGTGTATATATTGAACAAGACTGGTGACAGGGCCGATCCCTGGGGCAGTCCTGGGGTTATGGTAATAGGTTCAGAAGCCCAGCTGCCAAGGCGCAAGGAAACCTTTCTTTTTAACAAGGCATTTCCTACCCAGATCACCAATTCAGAGTCGATTTTCATATTGATCATAGTTCGCATGATCAAGCTAAAGGGCACCCGGTTATAAGCATCTTCTAGATCTATTGCGGCGACTAGTGTCTCTTTTCCCTCCCCCAAACCGTCCTATATGTCTTTATTTAGATGGAAAAAAACTCCGTTTATTTTGAATACAAGTCGGGATATTTACGAATGAAGGAGGTGGGGGTCACCCGGTTTCAGAGGTAAAATTAGTGAGAAAATGGCTGCCAACGATTAGTTTTTTCCTTAGCTTAAGAGTCTGTGGTAACTGAAAATTTACATTTTGTGCCTTTAATCAACGTTTTTCATTAAAATCCATACAGAAATGAGTTCTTTAAAGGGCATGAAAGGCGTTGAGCCAGAAAACAAAAATTTGATAAAAATTCACAAACCTGCAGAAAAATGTCAGTTTTTTTGGGGGGGGTTATTTTGACGAGAACCTGATTCCACCACGCTGCCTCACATTTGGTACTGTGCCTGTGGCAAGTGACATGTTCACTATCTGAATAATGTGAGGTAGGACAATATCAATACAGGCTTTGAGTACATGAGCAGGCATGGGGTCAAGGTCACATGGTTTTATGGTTGACCCATTGATACAATTTAAAATATCAATATCTGTAACTGGACTTAAAGAATTTAATATATTATGTCCAGTAAATTCTGAAAATTCTAAATTTTCACTTGGCTCTAGGTCGAGTGAACAGCGTAAAAACCATACTATGGTATTAATT